TTTTATGTATTTGTTCTTGCTTCATTGCACGGCGTAGGCCACAATACAGTGCTGAATCCCGGCGGTGAGTGTGCACCTTCTCGCCTTGCAGACGTGTTTAATGTCCCAACGTCAGGCTGACGTCAACAGTCGGGCTTCTGCAGCTGCCCTGCTATCAGAGGCAGGAAGTCCCCACCCGTCCTAGTTTACGGACAGTATTTATTGCCAACAGCTGTTGTATTTTGTCAAATACCTCTTCTGCCTATAGTGAGATGATCATAAAGTTATGTTTCCTTATTCTACGGATGTACTGTTTCATTGACTGACCTCTTATTTTCTCGTAATATATTTGTCAGGTTTTGATAGCAAGGTTACATTGGTCTTGTAAAGTGGCTTGGACAGTATTTTCCTTTATTTATCAATTAAATTTGTCTAGAATAGGGACTATTTTTTCCCGCTTATATTTTGGTACAATTATCCAGTGAAGTCGTGTGGAACAGGAACTCTATGGCAAGGATTTTTTAAAATGACATCTAATTTTTTAATAGACATAGAGTTCTTTAGATTTTTGTCTCTCTCTTTGTGCCCGTTTTGGTAATTTGCGTTACCCAGGGCAAGCTTGATTCCATCTAAGTTATTGAATGTGTTGGCATAAAATCATCCATCATATCCCTTTATTATCCTTTAATGCTTACAGGCTCTTTAATAAAATCATCCATAATATTCCTTTATTAGCCTTCAATGCTTACGGGTTCGCTAGTGATTTCCCTGTTTCATTCCTGATATTGGTAATTTATATTTTCTCTTTTTTTTCCATTATCAGTCTTGCTAGGGGGTTACTGAATTTATTAATCTCTTCAAAAAAGCAACATTTACCATCGTTTTCTCAATTGTTTGCCGTCTATTGATTTCCACTCTTAGTTTTATTGTTCCTTTTATTTTACTTCCCTTGGTTTTAATTTGCTCCTCTTTTTCTAGTTTCCTATGGCAGAAGCTTAATTGATTTTAAACATTTATTTGTTTTCTAGTATGAACATTTAAAGCTAAAATTTCCCTCTGAGTGCTTTCTTCACTGCATCTCCCAAATTTTGACACATGATGTTTTAGTTATCACTCAGATCAAAAAAAAAATTTTTTTTTGAAGACGGAGTCTTGCTCTGTCACCCAGGCTGGAGTGCAGTGGCCGGATCTCAGCTCACTGCAAGCTCCACCTCCCAGGTTTACGCCATTCTCCTGCCTCAGCCTCCTGAGTGGCTGGGACTACAGGCGCCCGCCACCTCGCCCGGCTAGTTTTTTGTATTTTTTAGTAGAGACGGGGTTTCACCGTGTTAGCCAGGATGGTCTCGATCTCCTGACCTCGTGATCCCCTGTCTCGGCCTCCCAAAGTGCTGGGATTACAGGCTTGAGCCACCGCGCCCGGCCAGATCAAAATATTTTGTAATTTCCTTGTGATTTCTTCTTTGAACCACAGACTATTTAGACTTATACTGTGTAATTTCCATATACTTGGTGGATATCCTAAATGTCTTTTTGTTTTTTATTTCAAATTTATGTCTGCTGCGGTCAGAGCTCATACTGTATATGGATTTCAGTATTTCGAAAATGTGTTGAGAGTCTGTTTCATAAACTAGCTGCAGTCTTGGTGACTATCCCACGGACACTTGAGATGAACGTGTCTTCGCCATTGTCAGGGGTGAGTTTCTACAGAGATCCTCAGGTCTGCCTGGATGACAGTGTTGTTCAAGTCTTCTTTGTATCACTGTGGTTTTGTTGTTGTTTTGTTTTGTTTTGTTTGCCTGCTCTTCCTATGAAGAACTGAGAGTGAGGTGTTCAGTTCTCCCAGTGTGAATGTGGTCTTGTCTCCTTCTCCCTTTAACTCTGTGCATTCATCTTCATGATTTTGAAGGTCTGTTGTTAGGATTGTTACACCTTTTTGACGAATTGACTATTTTTATCATTGTGAAATATCGCCCCTTACCTCGGGTAATACTCTTTGTCTTAATGTTTGTGTGTTTCCTTTCCTTGGGCCACTTGTCTCTCCATACAAAAGAGACAAGCAATTTCTATTTCTTTTTTTAATTATTTTATTTATGTATTTATTTTGAGACGGAGTGTCGCTCTTGTTGCCCAGGCTGCAGGGCTTTGGCGGGATCTCGGCTCACTGCAACCTCCACCTCCCAGGTTCACGCAATTCTCCTGCCTCAGCCTCCTGAGTAGCTGGGACTACAGGCACCCACCACCACGCCCGGCTAATTTTTTGTATCTTTAGTAGAGACGGGGTTTCACCATGTTGGCCAGGCTGGTCTCGAACTCCTGACCTCAAGTGATCCACCCACCTCGGCCTCCCAAAGTACTGGGATTACAGACGTGAGCCACCGCGCCCGGCTCAGTTTCTATTTCTTGATGCTCTGCCCATGCGGAGGATTTTCCCTCACCACTGTCTTCTAGGAACCCTGAGCTGGGAAAGTCCATTTTGGTTTGCACCGAAAGACCAAGCCATCATATCCATGAACCAGGCTCAAGATTTTCTTCCTCGGTCATCTAGTCCCGGGGAACCCTCTCAAGGCCATATGTGTGAGGTTAAAGGAGAGGCACAGGTGCACCTAGGTGATGATAGGGTGACCCAAGCCATTGTCCATCGAACTGACTTGTTTCCACCCACCCTGCTTGGCCTGGCCCTGAGGGGCCATGTCCATGTACAATGGATTGCTTTTGCACCACCACTGCCACCCCCACTTAGGACCCCATAACATTCAGCTCATGGTGGGCAACTCAGGTCGCACAGTTACTTGGTGTCCCCTGGCCAGGGGCCCAATATCACACCAAATGCTGCTTTCCAACAGTGAATACTTCTCTGCTGCAGACAATATGCTGTCGTTCCAGGACTTCACCTCCTATTTTGGGGTTTGCCAGAGATGCCACATGGTGCCCCTTTCTACTACAGACACCATTTGCACCATGGTGGCATCGCAGCGTGAATCTGCTCAAGAACCTGCCTGTGCCCTGGCCCCACTCAGAACCAACAGCCTTCTGAGTCCTCCAGCAAATGGACATTCCCAAGTGAGGTGCATGCAGCCTCCAAAATCCAATGAGGCCCACTGAGCACCATGCCTGTTCTTCACAGTAGGTGGAGCAAGGTACAAAAACTTCCCCTTTACCTTGGAAGCAACGTCTCAGCACACCCCACACCACTGAGCCTCTAAAGTCTGAATCTGTGGGCCAGACCTTGAGACTGTAAGGTTTGTCTCCCACCCTCTGGAATGAATGTGTCTTAGAAGGCATCCAAAGAACTTTGCAGTCAATCCTCTCCAGTTCTAATTAGCATGATGTCATGCTAATTAGAATACAACACAGTGAACCAGCATGATATTCTACAGACCATCCAGGTGATGAAGGCCCATTAGGCTACATCGTGACACAGAAGAGAGGGTTAACATTAGTCTGGGCCAGACCATGAACTTATAATGTTATCTCTTCCAGGTGAATGCAAACCGTGTCTGAGCCTCCCCTCCGATGGGGATTGGAAAGAATGCCTTTCTTCCAGGCCAGTGGCCACATACGAGTTCCAGAGGCCCTGCTGTCCTGTTATATTAAAGATACCATGTCTAGCACAGCACGTGGACTACAGGTTACAACTTGATTAAGTTTGTGTAATCCACTACCATTCACCATAATCCATCTGGCTTCTACTGGGGCCATGTTGGTGAATTAAAGCTCTGAAAGTAGAACTAAATTAGTACACCCAGGAGGTGGCATGTTTTGCTGGGTTATCTTGGCCATAAGAATAGGGATGATTTCGAAACAACCTTCCCCTTGGCCCTTCCTGCTATTACAGCTCTTACTCCTGCTATGTACAGCCACCCTGCTTCACAATCAAATGCCAAGGGAATGGCCACAGGGTGGGCCTGGCCCTTCCATTCCATTATGAATCAGGTGGGAACCATGATTCTGCCTTCCACCAGCCCCCATTCTACCGGGGGAGGAGCGATGGCATTTTGTGTCCCCTTGTGTGGGTGTCGGCTCAGGCCCTGGATCTTGCAGCCTTCAAGGGGCCTGGACATCTCCTGTTGTGAGTATACGCTTCCTCTGGCAGATGGCTGGAGGTCCCTTTCAAGGAGGCTCCAGGGAGCTGCTGCTGCATGAATTGCAGGTTCCCTCCAAGAGGCTAGGGTGTGAGCTGCAGCTCAGGCACTGAGGGGTAAATGCCCCTGAGAGGTCAGAGGTGGAGAATAGGAAATGTCCAATGGGCAGGACCCATGCAGGTCATGGGCTACAGGCAGGCAGTGCTGGGTTGATGAGAGATTGTGAGGTGCGGGGGACACAGAATGGTAAGGACAGAGTGGAGGTGGCATCAGATGCCAGGAGAGGACACCTTACATCAGAGAGGGGGGATGTATTAGGAGGTTCTTGTACTGCTGTAAACAACTACCTCAACTACCTGAGACTGAGTAATGAATAAAGAGGTTTAACTGACTCGCAGTCCCGCAGGCTGTGCAGGAAACATGGCTGGGAGGCCTCAGGAAACTGACAGTCAAGGTGGAAGGTGAAGGAGAAGGAGGCACATCTGACATGGCCAGAGAAGGAGGAAGAGAGCAAAAGGGGAGGGGGAGGAGCCACACACTCAAACAACCAGATCTCATGAGAACTCACTCACTATCACGAGAACAGCAAGGGAGAAATCCACCCCCATGATCCAGTCACCTCCCACCAGGCCCCTCCTCCAACACTGGGGATTACAATTCGACATGAGATCTGTGTGGGACACAGATCCAAACCATATCAGGGGCCACTTCCACGGGGACGGGAAGAAGCAGATGGGACTAGTCCTTGGCAGGTGGGCTCATGGCTGTGTGTGCACCCTCAGTTGCCTTTAGTTTGCTCTAAGAACGAGGTAGGAGTGGGGGATGGCTGGGGAAGGGGGGTCTTTCACAGAGAATGGAGAAGACTCAAAATTATCCGTCTGCACACGAGCCTCTTCTACTTCTAGGGGAAATACTTTCCACACAGATATACAAAAAGTAGAGAGTCCCTTTCTGCTGGGTATACCCAGCACATTCATTTTTTCAAGATCAAATATACAGCATTTCTTCTCCAAGGAATGGCACACAGTGCAGGCAGGGCCAAGCCCTCAGCTCCAGGTCTCCTGCCGAGGCTGTTTGCTTAACAACACCACGTGGCTGGGTCAACATGCACTATGTGGGGTTTGGCACCTGCATCCAGGCCCTGACCCAGGGAGGAGGTGCTCCAAGAGGGCTGCCTTGCCCCACCAGGCACTGAAAGACTCTGAAAGCCCACTCCTGGGGACAAAATCCCTCCACTGTCCCCCTCAATGAGAAGCCCATTCCTTCTTCCAAATGTCCCAGGAGCCTCCCATGGTGCAGTGCAGAGTCTGTCAGGCAGCCGAGAACAGGTGGCCAAGACCAGGTGGCCCAGCTCAGCTCTCCTCACCGCCCAGAGTCCTGGTCTTCTGGAAGATGCTCTGCATGGCAGAGATCCGGTCCTTATCCTGGATGTTGAGGACCTGGAACTACAGGCAGGGTTGCAGGGGAGAAGGGTTACAAGGACGCCTGGAGCCCACGATAAGCTTTCAGGGCCAAGAGCACAGCGTGGAACAACCGGCCCTCCCTGGGCCATGCCGGGCCTTCCTGCCCTGGGTATCTGCCTGGATGGGCATCCCAGAGGCAGAGCAGGCCCAGCCTCTGCTCCTCCCCGAGCCCCTTCTCACACACGGCGTCCCTGGTGTGGGCCTACAGACAGGAGGCCCCACGGGGTGCTGCTTGAAGGCTGCCTCTGGCGACCACCCCACCCTCACCCCACCCTGCCCACACAGGTCTGCAGAGAGCAGAGCATGGCCCTTGCCCCCTAATCTGCAGGCTCTGGGGTAAAAATTCTTAAGTGCTGGGCATGAGGGGAGACCCCAGGAGGCCATCAGTATCTCAACAGGCAGAGGTTTGCTAAAATAGGATAGGAGATGCCCAGCAGAGGGCAGCTACCCTGTGGCCTCACTGTGACGAGGACATGGGAGAGGGTGGCTGAGAAACCCCCAGTGTGCCCTGGAAGGAGACCGTGTTTGTTCCTGGGATGAGGGTGAGGGCCCGGCCCTGGGCGAGGAGCAGGGTGGACTCTGGGCAGGCTCAGCAGAGGCGGCAGAGCCTGGGGCACAGGGAGGGACAGTTGGTGGAGCCTCCAGGCACCCACGAGAAGTGGCCCAAGGGACACAGGGTCCCAAGGAGCATGGCTGTGGATTCTCGAGTCCAGGGAGAAACAAACATGGTCCCTGTGGGGCCCAGGTAAGGCCACAGCCCTTCACGAGGAATGGAACTCCAGGGTGGGCAGCTGGGGCTCTGAGCATTTACCAAGTGTGAGCTGGGGGGCAATTCTGGAGGGAAACGGAAGCAGGGTCAGACCCACTGCCCTGGTTCCAGGGAGCAGCCCCAGACCCTGAGGGGACCCCCCATGGCCCGTGTGACCCCCAGACATCACATGTCCCCACAGATGCTCTCCATCCGAGCCCTGACCTGGCCTCAGCATTCCTGGGGCCGCTGACCTGGGAGAGAGTGGGCAGGGAGCTGGGCCAGGGCTCCGCCCCCACCCTCCCACACCCCTGGGCCTGCCCAAGGCTCCCGCGGCCAGCACCCACCTTGTCCAGCAAGACGTCGAAGTAGGCAGTGGCCCAGTAAGTGGGGTCACTGGCCGGCAGCTGCAGGAGCGCCTTGAGCCCGGAGCCGATGCGCGGCGGGGGGCTGCGGCCCAGGTGGGTGGCGTGGATGCGCAGGGCCGCCTCGGGTTGGCTGGCGAAGCCCTCCACACGCTCGTAGATGGCGCCGAGGTCCAGGCCGCTGCCCTGCAGCAGGTTGCGCTGAGGGTGGAGGAAGTGGGGCAGCTTCCGCGTGGCCAGGCAACAGAGCAGCACCACCAGCAGGCGGTACACGGCGCCCTGCAGCTCTGCCCAGTCCTCGGGCGCTGGGAAGAGCACGGAGGCCCACAGCAGCACCGTCTGCAGGACAGCGGGATCATCCCTGGCCTCCTGTCCCACCTGGCCTACGCTGCCCTCCCACCACCCTCACCCTGGCTGCCCCTCCCTGCTCCCACCCGCACCTCTCCCTACCCTGCGCCCTCCCCTCCACGTCCCAGTCGTCCCAGTCGGAGTCCTAGGCCCCTCCCACCCGCTGCCCCCAGCCTGCTGGTTCCCGAAGGCATGAACCCCCTCTCTCTCCTCCCCTGCCTGGCTCTGGCCCTGGAGCCCCACCCTAGCTCCTCCTTTCAGCCCCCAGGACCTCCCTTGGGGGTCTCTGCAGCTCCCAGCATCCTCTGGGCCTTTCTCTCCTTCCCTTCGCCCCTTTGAGCTCCTACTCACCCCCTACAGCCCAACCCAACAGGCCCCATGGCATTGTCACAGTCCTAGTCTGTGTGCTCACGACCCCTGGCCTGAACCACAGACATGGGCTGCCTGTGGCAGCCCCAGAGACCCTTCCCCTCCAACCTGCCCCAGGCCCTGTCCCACAGTGGCTTTTCAAACCCTCTTCTTCCACGGCCCCCTCACCCTGCAGTTGAGTTTGGGGCTTCAGAACCACCACGCATCCGGCCTCAAGGGGAGCTGGAAGCTCCAGGTCAGGGGGAGGCCTGAGAGGGCGTGGCCAGAGATCATGTGGGGACTCCCAACACCAGAAGGGGCCCCTCTCCCTCAACTCTGAGCCAGGTGGAGGGGCCAGCCCCATCTGTGGAGCGGCGCCCGGCCAGCCACGCACTCCAGGGAGCGGCCAGCCGAGCAGACACCCCAAGACAGCACAGCACCTGCTTCCTCGGGGTTGGGGTGGGTTGGAGTCCCTGGCCCCTGCCTGTTCCTTGTTCTTCTCAGCATTTGACATTACAAAGCCCCAGGACAGAGTTCTGCAGAATGTCACTGTGGCCCAGGAAGCAGAGAGAGGGGTGTGCCTGGGCTCTGCTGGGAACCCCCAGAGGGAGGTGTCCCAGCCGGGTGACATTCCCAGACACTGGGAGGAGGCTCGCTGGGCGGGAACACTGGGCTCTGTGAGGCCCCACCCTGAGGTTCTACCCAACAGTGTCCCAGGGCCAGGAGGGCTGCCAAGGTCACGGCCCAGGGATGGCGAAGGCCAGCCTGTGGCACCACGGCTCCTGCGGCCACGTTCCCATGACCCCCATGAGCCACGGCCTCACCTCAGAACCTGGACGGGCCCTCAGAATCCCCCCAACTCCGACTCAGGGCTCACACCAGCTGCCCGCCAGTCAGGGCTGGCAGGAGGGACTCGCCTGGGTGCACCTACCCCTGGGCCCTGCTGACAGACAATCCCCTGAGTCCCGCCCTGGGTACCTTCAGGTGGCCAAAGGTTAGGCCGTCAGTCCGGCCACCGTCTCGCCAGCTCTCGTGGTTGACCCGGTCGAGGATGGAGAGGCTGTCCAGGTGATGGCCCTGCAGGGAGCCCAGCTCCCCCAGCAGCCTGGTGAGCAGGTAGTCAGTGGAGGTCCTGGGGCCCAGAGAGATGCACTGGGTCAGCCCCCGCCACTGTTGGCCCCCAGCATGGGGAGCTCCTGAGCCCCGGAGGTTCAGGCCCTGGCCAGGGTCATGCTGTGCTGCGTCTGCTGGTGGGACCCAGCCTGGATCCCAGGCTTCTCGGGAGCTGCGGTCATCGGCTGTGCAGTGTGCACGCCTGCTTTTCATGGAGATTCCCTGGCCCTGAATACAGAGGGAGATTGGAGCCTCCAGGCCAGCCCGGCCCTTTGTGTAGACAGGAAGGTGCCTCTCAGACCTGCCCAGGTTGGAGCCACCCAGCCCGGGGGTGTGACAGCTCCACCCACGGCCTCTTCAGGAAGCCCAGGGCGGCAGCCTCCAGTGGTGGCCACACGATGGGCTCAGAATCTCTGCTCCACTCCCCAGCCCCGCCCATGCCCATAGCTCAGAGCAGCTCACACCAGAGGACTTGCTGTGCACATGCTGGATGGGGTGAGGTGGTGGAGCTTTGGCATCGCACCCTCATGGGCCCACCCTTCACGGAGCCACAACAGAGGACAGCCATGTGCCCAGTGTCTCCCCCAAGTCTATGGGATGTGGAGCACCAAAAATGTCATTTTCCCATTTAATTGCAAAAATGACTCTGCCCAGCCAGCCCTTCCCCTTCCTTGGCAGGCGGACAGGTAGTTATTCCACAAGCCTGGACACCGCCCCTGCCTTGCGCGACGGGTCAGCGGGAATGCAGGGCAGGTGACGGGCGCTCCGCCGAGCCTTTCCTTTTTGGGGAAAACCACAGGAGGGGCATGACCAGCTTTGTAAAGCCCCCCACTGACGAGCGTGGATTCCACCATCCTTCCAGCAAGTGAGGGGGTGTGAGCCACCCCGAGGGGCTGTTGCAGCGGTGTCAGATCTGGATGGGGTGCGGTCCCTGGCCATTGGCTAGGGGTCTCCAAGGGAGCTCAGCCTCTGCCCAGTGCCCCTTTCCTTCCTCTCACAGACAGCAATGTGGACGCACCCCCATTGTGTGGGGACCCTCTCAGCTTCTCTGGGAACCCTCCTGCCTGGACAGGTTGCCTGACCTCTCAGCTATTTTCCTGCCCCAAGCAAAAGCTGGGTAGTGGATGGTCCCATCTAGGGCAGCCGTCCACAATTCCAGGTCTCTCATCACCCAGCGTCAGATGCCACCAGGCCCCTTTCCACTTGGGAGAGGACACATCTCCACCCTCGCTACAGCTAGAGACCCCAGTAATCTCAGTGGAACACACGTGCCCATGGGGGCAGAGGCAGATGGAGGACCCTGCAGATGCTCCTGGCTGGGGCCGGAGGAGCATGGGAGCAGTGGCCCCTTCCTGCCCACTCCCCAGAAACCTTGTGACTGGGAGGGTGCGCCTACCTCCAGAGCTGGGTGCTGGCCGGCACCAGGTCCACCCCTTGGCTGAGGATCCTTCTCAAGCTGCCCTCAGGGAACCCAGGCATCTGCTGGGCCCCCTCCAGGGCAGGCGCCCCAAGCTTCCTTCTCACCACGGGCACCACGCGGAAGTTGATTGTTCTCCAGCTGCTGGACACCAGCAAGGACAGGTGGAGCTGCTCCTCCCTCAGGCTGGCCGCGTTCAGCGAACCTGCAAAGACCCAAGTCACGCCCTCCTCCTCGACCTGCCTCACCCGCCCAGGACACTCCACAGCCCTCCTCCTGCTGCCAACTTGGCTCCTGCCCCTCATCACCTCTCCCCTGCAGCCCTCTCTGCTGGCCCCCACCTGCAGGCTGCAGCATCCCAACCCCGGACACCTGCGTGCATCCCTGGACCTCAGCCGAGTGAAGAGCTGGCCACCATGCCTGCCCACTGGTGACCGTCCTCGGCACAACTGTCAGCTCAGCGACCTGCAGCAACAGTGATGACAGCAGCGTCCGACGTGAGGTTTTCCTTTGCCAGGCACTGCCCTCACCCCGTACCCCAGGACCACGCCTGCTGTGCCTTCCCAGGCCTTCCTAAGCCTGCTCGCTCTGCCCCAGCCCTGGGACCAAAGTCCCAGCCCTCAGCTAGCCCCCTGCCTTCTGATGACGGCCCTGGCGTCTCTGCTGCCTTCTCTGTGGAGAAGGAGGCAGCAGCAGTCCAGGCTGGGGCCACAGGGCTCCCACTCCAGAACTGGAGAGTGTGGAGCGAGGCTAGGCCTTTCCTCCCCAGAACTCGCCTCCTCCTCCCCATGCCCCCTCCCCCTGCCCCTGGAAGCTTCCCTGAGAGCCCCCTGCCACTCAAATCAACTGCATGCACAGGAACCCCATGTTGGACCCAGCTGGGGCACCAGTCTACATGATGAGGGCAGCTGGGGCAGGAGGGACAGGCCCAGGCCGGGGCTCAGCTCCCACGGAGAGAAGAGGCGGCGGCGGCCGCCAGTCGTGGGGAGCCAGCTTGGCCACTCGTGTTTCTGGGCTGCCCAGGCTCACAGTGAGAGCTCAGCCGCTCTTCCTGACCAGGTCTGGGTCCTACGCTTCCCAGAGAGGCCTTGCCCGAGAGCCCCATGGCCTCTGTCACCCCACAGGGGGCACATTCTGGCCAAGAAGTTTCCCACTCCCTTCCCTGCTCAGACCCCACCCGGGGCCCAGCCCAGTGCCCACTTCCCTAACATGGAGCCCAGAGCCCCCGGAGGGCCCGTTCCAGGGTGTAATGGGGCTGGGGGCTGTGGGCATTCTGGTGAATCCAGGGGCCCTCTGACCTCTGCCTCAGTCACCCAGTCCCCCCAAAACAAAGTAATACCTGAGAATGAAGAGGGTGAGGTGTCACTCGGGGTGACTGCAGACACCCACACGGCCCCCGCCCAACACTGGCCCAGGCGCCAGGGGAGAGGCCGCCCCTCCCCTCCCCAGCACTGTCCAGCCGGGGGGCCCAGGTCACAGGGAGCTGAGCCCAGGCGGAATGCTGGCGTGTCCCCAAGGGAATCTTGGCCTGTGCCTTGGGAAAGGTCCCCACCATGAGTGAGCATGGGGCCTGCCTTCCTACCATCCCACTGCCCCAGGGCCCTCCCAGAGGAAGCCTGGTGCCGGCTGTGTGGGACCTCAGCACCCACAGTCTCCCGTGGGGCAGTTCTGGGGACACCTCTGGGACCCACCTCAGGGCAACCCTGGCTCTGCTGCCTGGGCAGCCCATCCCACAGGGGCCTCAGTTCCCATCAATGAAAGAGAAGGAGGCCCCCCCAGTGCAGCATTTGAGGTGCCTGCCATTCAGAGCCGCCTCTAGTGGCCACACACCGCGTCTGCCGTGGCAGCTTGGAAGGCAGCCACAACTGCACCAGCCCAGCCACAGGCCACAGCCCTGGGCTGGTCTCACCGGTTCCCAGGGTGGGGGCAGCCTGACCCCTGTCACCCAGGCTGCGACTTCCCTTTTAAGGTAAGTGTCAGGAAACAATGCCTGGAATTTCCCCGCAGGCCCAGCCCAGCGCAGCTTCAGGGGCCGTGGGCGCAGCCTGCAGTATCGGGTCGGCTTTCTCAGAGCGCACTCTGGGGTGTGAGGAGCCTGGCAGCTTAGACTTAATCCTAACGACTCAGGGCCTGGCACAGCCTCCTGCTCACGCCAACGGGTGGGCCTGTCTCACAGGTGGGGACAGGGCCAGGTGAGGTCGGCAAGAAGATAGAAATACCCACCCCACAGCCTGCATGATTAGAGGCTCAGAAGATGCTGGGGCAGGAAGTCCAAGGGGCTGGGGGCAGGGTGAGGGCTGGCTGGGAGCACAGAAGCTGACCCCCCAGAGGTCAGGTCAGTCACGCATCCCAGGGCACCAGACAGGTCTGGGGAGGGCTTCTGTTAGAATCCACCCTCCTGGTCTTCCAGCATGCAGACTGGAGGTCTGGTTGTGTGCGGCGGCAGCAGCACACCCTTCCCCAGAACTCAGAGAAGGTGCCCCTGCCTCCAGGCAGGCCCCAGCACTGGGCAGCCCCAAGCAGGTCACGGCCTCTCGCGAAGGTGAGCTGACCCCACCCGCTGACCTCACGAAGGACATGAGGGTCAGATGAATACCAGGGAGGTGACTCGAGGCAACAAAGCCCTGTGAGGACTGTGGTGACTCATATTGGACAAATTCTGTTCCAGTCCCCAGTTCCCTTCCAGGACAACCTGATCCCCCGAGGATGGCTGCACTACTCAGGGTCCCCATCATCCTGGCCCCTGCGCAGGCCAAGTCCTGTTCTCCCAGCCACCCTCACCGTCCAGGCAGCCCCTGCTGAAGGAGCCCTGGGCTCAGACTCGCCCTCGATCATTTCAACAGGGCCCCAAAGGTTGGGCCAGGCGCGGTGGCTCACACCTGTAATCCCAGCAGTTTGAGAGGCCCAGGTGGGCGGATCACCTGAGGTCAGAAGTTCAAGACCAGCCTGGCCAACATGGTGAAACCCCGTCTCTACTAAAAATACAAAAATTAGCTGGGCGTGGTGGCCCATGCCTGTAATCCCAGCTACTTGGGAGGCTGAGGCAGGAGAATCGCTTGAAGCCGGGAGGCGGAGGTTGCAGTGAGCCAAGATCACACCACGGCACTCCAGCCTGGGTGACAGAGTAAGACTTGGTCTCAAAAACAAACAAACAAACAAACAAAAAGATCCCAGAGGAGAGACTGAGGCCAGCCCCTGGTCCATGCAGAAGCCCAGCCTCAGAGCCCACTTGGGGTTCAGGACACCAATAGGCAACTCAGTCACAACACAAGCTGATAAGACATACACACACATGCACACGTATTCACACCCCTGCACTCATGTGCACGCAGGCAGGCACACACACACCCCTCCCACCTGGTGCAACATGACCAGACACTGGAAGTGGGCGTGGGACGGCCTCGAGGATCCTTGAGGTCACAGGCTGTGACTGGCAGCAGAGCCACCGGCCTGGAGCCGTGTGAAGGACCCTCCTGCAAATCCACCAGCAAAGCAGCTGCCCCGGACTCCAGCCACTGGACGAACGGCAGCCATGGAAACCGCCGTGCAAACACACACGACACGGAACACATCGTCTGTCGTTAGAGGCGTTTGGAGCTGGAAGACCTAAGTGAGGTCCCCCGACTTCTGTGCCCCAAGACGCTGTTCACACTTGCACAGTGTCACACACGTGCACACACGCCTGTGCATGCAGTCACACACAGAGGACAGTTGCCACCCTGTGTGCACGTACATGGCAATCACACACATGTGCACTCATACACTTGCACGCAGAAACCCACACAGTGGGCAGGTACAGCCCTGTGAGCACCCACACAGCAGCCCGTCAGTACACACAGATACACGTGCAGTGGGCTGTGCCTGTACCTGGTCTGATGAGACTGTGGTGCTTGCAGTGTACGATGGCTGCCACCAGCAAGTCTTTGAGGACACACAGGACCTTGCTGGGCACAATGTGTCCACGGCACTTGGCATCACCCTCCGAGGAGGCAGTGAAGATATCGTCGGTGGTCCACCGCTCCAGGCCAGCCCCTTCCCTGGGCACACCCAGTCGGCATAATTCAGGGCCATCCTCCGGCTGGGTGGCCTCTGGTTCCTCAATCAGTAGAGCCTCGGCATCCACCCACAGGGGCACCTCCATGTCCAGCGGGTCCTCAGAGGAGCGCAAGGCGAACTGGAAGGCCTCCAGGCCGCGGGAGTAGTCCACGATGAAGCGGGGGTCCAGGGCATGCACGCGCTCCAGCACCGTGAGCAGCACGTTCTCTGCACGCTGGAAGTCCTGGGCACGCTGCGCCTCCCGCGACCGGATGGCCTGAAGGTAGTGGTGCCACAGGGGCACCTGCACGGCCATGGCTGAGGTGGGGACAGCAGGGGCAGGCATCCCTTCAACGGTGGCAGGTGAGGGCCAATGGCCCCTGAGGAGGGCTCCGCAGGCCGGCTGTGCAGATGGGCTGGGAGGAGGCACCTGCCCAGGTAAGCAGCAGGTCTGCAGGTGGGGCCTCAGCTCCCGCAGAGCAGAATTCCGGAGTGACGGCACAGTGCGGCAGGTTAAATAGCTGAACTATTTAAGGCCTTTGAAGTGGGGGTGAGTCAGTCCCCAGCAATCGGGAATGTCACAGGGGCCGTGAAGGGCAGGCGGAGGCTGGGCTTGGTTACCCTCCTCCCTCCCATCAGAAGAGCTCTCGCATCTTAGGCCCAGGCCCCTGTCCCAGCCAGGCTTGGGGTCCCTGGAGAAATCCTGCTGTGGACTGCGCCATCCCTGGGAGGGGAGGCCTGTGTGTATTCCTGATGGGCCTCCTTCCACCCTCCTGCCCACAGCCCAGGGGCCAGGTCTCTGGATCAGGCCCCCCTGCCCCAGCCTCCCTGCCAGGTTGGAGGGAACACAAGGCGCCCCATGGCTCAGTGAGAAAGGGGAGGCAGGGTGGTGGCTGCCCAGACCCCGCTGTGGGGGAGCCCCGGACTCTCTAAGGCTGCCTGGAAGGCGGGGAACCTGGAGGCTGCGTCTCTGCAATGTTCCCCTCAGACACCTGTGCCTGGCTTAAAGGAAGACGCCTCAAACGTGCACAGGCCACAGCCCTGGCGTGGCTCCTGCCTCTGCCCCAGCTGTGCGTCCAGCCATCTGGGCCCCAGACCCCTGGGCTACCAGTCCCCACCCCAGCCCACCCTGTCCAGCCTCCAGCCTGAGAGGAGCTGGCACCCACCTAGCCTGGGAACTGGAGCTCGTCTGGTTCTGGAGAGAAGCAGTCCCGGTGGCTCCACCTCACTCAGGTGGAGAACTTCGCCCCACCATCCCCCTCCAGCACCTGCGCCAGGCACCCTGCCCGCCCCGCCCCCTCCCTGCGCAGGGCCGTGCAAGTCCCAACCAGCAGGGAGCCGCCCCACCGACCCTTGGCCCTGCCAGCTGGCCGGGTGCGCTGGGTGCTCAGCCGCAGGGGTGTCTGCAAACAGCGAACATGGAGACGGCCCCACTCGGCGTCGTGGAGATGCCACCCCTGTGGCCACCGCACATGGGCCTCTCACCCTCCCGGGCAGCTGCACCTGAGTCAGAGCTGTGGGCAGAACCAGGACCCCAGGGGGGTGGGGCAGGGGCAACAGCCACTCACTTCCTGGTGCTTGAAAGCCCCTGTGAGGGGCTGCAGCCCAGTGAGGGGGTCTCTGCTTCCACGCCTCCCAGGACAGGGAGCTCACCCCCTCACAGGGTAGCCCACGGTCAAGCAAGAGACAGATATCCCTCCTCCACACTGGCCCACTCCTGTTCGCTGGAGTTGGCTAGAGCATGTGTCCCCCTCCCCAGGGCAGCTGTTCAGGTTCAAGGGCCCATTTGTCCTAGGCCCTCACCTACGGCCTGCCTAGGTCCCCACACACAGCCATGTGCCATAGTCCTCCATCTCCACAGGACCTGGCCTGCAGGGAGGTGAACGATGACGCCTTCAGTGTCCCAGCTCCTCCTTCCCAGGAAACTCCAGTGTTCTGAATTCACCCAGGAGACCCCCGACCCCACCCCAACCTACCCAAAGTGCCCAGAGGCTCTGAGCCATGGGAAAGGCTGGCTCCTCAGTCCCCAAGCTGCTCCCTCCAGTGGCCACAGAGCAGGGCCCTTCTCCCTCGGGGACAGCCCCCAGGCTTTGCATCCTCTTTTGCCCCTGAAGCCCCCTCTCCACTGCTGTCAACACCAAGGGCCCAAGACCAGGCCCCCCTCCCCTCCCCTCCTCTCTCCTCGGCAGGGGCTTCCACCCGGCTGTCCCCCTTGTCAGTCCCGCCTGTGACACCCTGTCTGTCCCTCACTGGCTCTGGCCTCCTGGCTCCCACCAGTTCCTGAGCTGAACCCAGCTGGTTGCCCCAAGGGACCCCGCTCTCTCCACCTGTGCCCCAGCTGAGGTCAGAGCCTCCGATGGGCCAGGCCCCATCCTTGCCCCTTGGCCCCTCTGGCGGGTGGCGAATGACATGGTGAGTTTCCTGTGGCTGGAATGGTGTCACACTCCTCAGTGTACCCTAGAGCCGGGCACGATGCCTGGCACACAGGAGCATGTGGACCACACCAGGGAACTATGGGCAAGCAATGGTCCCTGGGAAGCTGTACCCGTGCGAGAGAGAGGAGAGCCGCTGCTGACGGAGGGGATGCGGGCGCTCGCCCTGGACGGCTGGGCAGCTTTGACCACAAAGGGCCAAGTGCTCCAGAGGCCTGCAGGCAACCACTAGCCACAGTGCACCCAGGACTCCAACTCTGACCCCAGGAGGGCAGCACGGTGAGGGTGGGGAGGGTCAGAGAGACCAGACGTGCCATGGGGCCTTGGCAACTCAAGAAGGGGTTCCTTGGCACCCGTGGCAACCGCAAATGCTCAGATGGGTGTTGATTGAGTCTCCCAGCAGAGCTCAAGGCCACAGCGTGGATCCTGTATTTCAGGAAGTCCCAGATGTGCTGGGAGAGGTGGGGTGGGAAGGACACATTCCTGCCTGAACAGAGTCCTGGGGCTGAAGCTAGGGAAGCACCAGGGGCACACCCTGAGCTGTGGAGGCTCCACGCAGCTGCAGCCCACAGCGGGCGTGTTTCCGGGGCTGTGACAGACCGCAGCGGAGGTAAATGACAGAAGCGAATTCTCACAGCTCTGGAGGCAGACGTCCAAGGGCACGGTGTTGCATGGCCGAGCTCCCTCCGGAGGCTCCAGGGAAGCGTGGCTCCCGCCTCGCCCAGCTCCGTCCGGTGCAGCCATGTTCCTTGCCCACGTCTCTCCATCTCTGCTGCCTCCGTCCTCACGTGGTCCTCTCCTATGGGCAGCTGTGCTCTCTCTTTCTGCTTCTCTTACAAGGACACTGGGGAGAGCATTTAGGGCCACTGGGCTGTCCCAGATAATCTCCTCATCCCACAGGTCTCAATGCACCCACAGTTCAGTCTGTTACCGCGTAAGGCCACACTCTCTCCTGTGCACAGGTTCTGCGGACTAGGAGGTGGCCGTTCCTCAGCCAGCCACCGTCAGCAGCCCCCACACAACCACATGCCAGGAGCCCAGCCGAGAGACGCTGCCTGCAGGGACCTATGTTCGTTGCCCCTCCCCTAGCCCAGCCACCCGTTCGGGAACAGTGGACACAGCTCTGTGCAGTCTCAGGGACAGGGATGCAAAAGCAACCAAGACGGGAGTCTCCAGCAGAGGTCTACGCCAGCCACCAACGCTGGCAGTACTCCGGGAAGGAGACCCTTCTGCGTCGGGCCCTTCTCTCCAGGACGCTGTGGTCCGATTCAGCCAAGGTGCCCAGAGTACCTGCCAGGCCTGCTCAGGCTCAGGTGCGGATGCAGAAAAGTCAGACTTGAGCGGATGAGCTTGGCACTATTGTGCGACCTGAGCAAGTCGCTGCCCCGCCTGGGCTCCAGGTCCTCAATGGACAGTGAAGAATCCACAGGAGACAGGCTCTCAGACAGAATCCAGCCGCCCAGAGACCAGACGCCCTTTATGCAGACACCTCTGCGGGGAAGCAGTTTCCGTGCTGACATGGCCCATCTGGGCTTCAGGATAAAGCGGTGATGCTCACCACGTGGCACAAACCTGCGTCCTGACTCCCAGACCACACACCCGGCCCCTGCGGCCTCCTCTATTCCCAGACCACACGCCCGGACCCTGCGGCCTCCCTGACGCCCAGACCACACGCCCGGCCCCTGCGGCCTCCCCTACTCCCAGACCACACGCCCGGCCCCTGCGGCCTCCCCTACTCCCAGACCACACGCCCGGACCCTGCGGCCTCCCCTACTCCCAGACCACACGCCCGGACCCTGCGGCCTCCTCTACTCCCAGACCACACGCCCGGCCCCTGCGGCCTCCTCTACTCCCAGACCACACGCCCGGACCCTGCGGCCTCCCCTACTCCCAGAGCACACGCCCGGCCCCTGCGGCCTCCCCTACTCCCAGAGCACACGCCCGGCCCCTGCGGCCTCCCCGACGCCCAGACCACACGCCCGGCCCCTGCGGCCTCCCCTACTCCCAGAGCACACGCCCGGCCCCTGCGGCCTCCCCGACGCCCAGACCACACGCCCGGACCCTGCGGCCTCCTCTACTCCCAGAGCACACGCCCGGCGTCTGCGGCCTCCTCTACTACCAGAGCACACGCCCAGCCCCTGCAGCCTCCTCTACTCCCAGACCACACGCCCGGCCCCTGCGGCCTCCCCGACGCCCAGACCACACACCTGGCCCCTGCGGCCTCCTCTACTCCCAGAGCACACGCTCGGCCCCTGCAGCGTCCTCTACTCCCAGAGCACACGCCCGGCCCCTGCGGCCTCCTCTTCATGGCCTAACTGCATCAGGGTGACGAATAAAATGCAGGATGCCCAGTTGTTAGAATTAATCTGAAGTTCAAATCTAACTTGCATGGCACACAAACATTTATTGTTGTTGATCTGGAGTTGGAAATGTAACAGGGATCCCTGTATTTCCACTGTAAGCCTGAAAGCCCCCCTCAGAGCAGCTCTGAGCGGTAGGGGTGAACGCCTGCTGGGAGGAGCAAAGCAAAGAAGGGACGGTTGCCTCTGACGCATCGCCCATGCTGAGAAGGTCAGGGCCGTAGCTACTGTCAGCAACACCCATGCTGAGAAGGTCAGGGCTTCCCGTCCTGCTCTGGCCTCTGCAGCCCCCACCTAGTGGGGCAGGACAACACCAAGAGCCACTCTGGGCCTCAGCTCGAGTCCCCTGTGGAATGGGCAGGTACTCAAGGTGAAAGTTCTGAGGAAGCGCAGGGGCTGGGCCGCTTTAGGGAATGGGAGTAGCCCTGTTGGGCTGCAGGAACGGGGAGGTGAAGCCGGGTGTGAGGCCTGGGCTGGGCGGGTGATGGGGGCTGCCTTAGAGAGCCTGTCCAGCCCCCGCCCACCAAGCCAGCCTGTCCTGGGGAAGGCAGGTGTCCGTGGTCACCCCCAGGGAGTTGAGGAAGGAGCTGGCAAATTGAAAATAACTGCTGGGAGAAGCAAGTCCACCTGCCGAAGCCAGCCCAGCCCCACCCGGGCACCCGTGTGGCCCTAGGCCGAGCCGTGCCGTGCTTGTTCTCTGGGATTGAGGAGCCCAAGTCATGGAGTGAAACCGACTGGACGGAAAGGACGAGGCCGGAGGAGGCGGCAGCTCCAGGAGCATCCCCCGTGGAATTCCAGGTGGCTCCAGCTGGGACTTCATGGCAGGACCCACGCGATGCTCAGGCCATGGGAAGGTTTGGCAGACCTCACTTCTCCAGGGATCCCCCACCTGCCTGGGGCTCCCCTGGAACCCTTGTCTGGCCCAGGGAAAGACTGGGTAGGAATGACAACCACAAAGTGGCAAAGGCTTGCAGAGAAGGGAGGCGAGGCCCCGGGAGGAGGAGGAAATCCCGCCCCACCCGACATGACCGTGTCCAGCGCCCTGCCTGGCTTCACTCAGGATGGTGTTTTCCCAGTGGAGACCACAGGAAGAGACCGCCTGCCCCCACACACGCCCTTTCTCACTCAGCCGTCCCTCACCCTCCTCACCCTCTTCCTGCCCCTGCAGTCCCCTGGTGCATCTAAGCAGCTGCCCGCTCAGGCCCAGGCTCATCTGAGTCACTCACCATCCCTGTTAGCGGACTGCAGACTGTGCCTCAGCCCACAGCACCCACGGCACCTGGTGCAAAGAGCCCCTGAGGGTGTGAAGCCTTCTCAGTCCCTGACAATTTCTTGAAGGCCTCCTCCACCAGGTTATAGGACGGGAGCATTTTTGCAGAGCTCAGGAATTAAGTCCTAACCCTTCCTCCACCCTTG